GCAAAAGCAAAAGCTCAATCTGCCGTTTTGGCTCAACTGCCAATCTCAGATTGCTTGATCCCAAATGGCAGATTGCGTGGAGCATTGAATGATCAATGTACATCCATGCCTGCCAAACTCAACACATGCATAGTCTGCTTCTTACTTAATTCGGCTTTTGAATGCATGGTCCACGTAGCGCTTGGCAACATCAAGCAACGTGGAGCTGCTGGCGCGCAAGCGATCTTCTACCTGTCTTGCGGAAATGCGGCTACCAGACATACCGTCAACCTCTTGCAGCACCATGTCTCGCAGTCGTGTAGAATCTTCTGTCGAAAAAATCTTCTTCCAGTCTACAGGCTCTGGCGTAGACTTCGCTTGAGCCTTGGCCTTCGCCTTGGGCCTGCCCTCGTTCTTTGCTGTTGGCTGCTGTGCAGACGTGCCAGAGGCTTCAGCCCTCTCCGGTATCACTTCTGAAGCATTGTTTTGAGATGGCTGCGGCAGCGCTCCCTTTCCCCGGCCCTTGGTCCTGCCATGAGCTGCATTTTCGTGCTCCCAAACAGCACGTGCATCCACAAACTGCAGGTGGCGGCGTTTAACCACCACCTTCGGCTCTTTTGTCTCGCCCTCGAGTTCGACCACAAAGCGTACCTCATTACCTTCGCCTTCCCCTTCCGCTTTTTTTGCAATCACCTTCCCGCGGCACCCGTTCAGCTCAGTGCTGTTGATCAGGCCTGCGAGCGTGACCACACTTCCAAGCAGCTCTCCGTCTGGGTCCTGTGTTTCAGAAAAGTCATACATACGCTTGCCCGTTCTTTGCCGCTTGCCCTCCTCCAGCCGCCTTGCCTCGCCGATGTTTTCGAGGCCTCGCTGGCGGCGGAAAGCCGCTGAGCGCGCGCTCGGGGTCGAACCCTCCTCTTCGGACTCCGACAATGACGAGTAGCCGCCAATGTCTGCAGCCAGCTCACCGCGGCCTGCAGTGTTGAGCATCATCTTTGCGTAGGCGCTCATCTCCCCCTTCTTCTCGATATTCAATTCTAGCTTTTGGGCCTTTAGCGCCACTTGGGTACCATCGCCGATCACTACCTGGAAGCGAGGCTCGCTGTCATTTCTCGATGAGACGACTTTGACTAAAGTGCCCAAGGCACCGTTGAGGTCCACTGGGCGATAATGATTCGGGCCAAGTGGCTGTACTCCGCGAAGTGATTTGACCATGACCGTTGAGCCAAGCGGAACATGCTCGTCGACGTGAGAGACATGTGGGAGGCCGAAGTTGTCCCCAACCAAATCTAACGACTCAAAGAGTTGACGCCAGGGGTGCACACCTCCCACGTCAGCAAAAAAGCAGCTCCACGCTTTCAAGGAAAGCCTGACGTGCGGGGGCTAATGAGGTGTCCTGGCTGTCCTGCGCGGATCCCGCCACACCGGCCTCAAAAAAGCGTTGGATGGACTCCCAGAGGCGGCATACATCTTCAGGGTAACGATGTGCGGCATTGTACTCGTGGGGCCGTGGGTCGAAAGAAGGACCCGTGTCAGGCCCTCCTGCTCCTTGCGCATCCTTCTCGTGCATCTGCTGAATTGTGTTGCCGTAAATGCTCTCGGCAAAACGTCTCACGGAAGGCCTGTCTGCGCTCATGGCATTCTCATCTCCATACTTGAACTTGGCGTGATCTTTCTGAAATCGCTTAGGAAGCAGTTTTTGTGCTAGCGCGAGCAGCTTTCTGAAATCAAACTCAGGTGGATACTTCTCACGCTGCTCGACCAGCTTGCAGTAAAGGAAAAATCCTGGGCAACTGACAGTGATGTAGGGAAGGCAGTGGGCGTAGCGCCTGAGTCTCGCTCGACAACAAACCGGACGCCGTTCACGGTGATGCGCTCCAGGTCGGACAACGTTTCCTTTGAAAGCACCCCGCCCTCATCCAACCGGCACAGGCGTCTCTCCACACGGACCATCTGCTCGTAAACGCCACGGCGGATTCCACCACGCCACTGTAAATCGTCATGGCATCGCATGCGGTAAGCATCGATCAGCCAAATATAAAGTTCATCAATGTGCGTGGGCTCGACGACCGCGGCAGGTTTCGACTCACGACCGCTGATCTCCTCAGACGATGCGCTTGCACGCTGCTTTGCTTTGCGGCGTTCGTTGCGCTCCCTCTGTGACTTTGCTTTGGTTGATCTTGGTGCTGCATTCTCAGCATTCTTCGCTGCGGCAAACCAGTCGAGATTCTTTCCACGAACGTCAGCAAGCTCATCCATGAAAAACTCAGGCCAGTCCGCAATGCTGGCGCCCCCGGATGCTGCTGCCTCCTGGCCCTTTTGGTCCACCACCCAGGGACATCATCATCGAAACCCAGTCTGGCTGCTCTGCAGACATACTCTGCATTTGGAGCAGCTTGCCTATGGCACCTTCCAGGCCAACTGCAGATTCCGCCAGTGGTCCTTTGAGCTCCCGAGCCAAGGTGCGGACACGCGCAGCATCGTGGAGCGGATCCAGTAGGATGCCTTCGCGCTGAAGGCGCCAAAGCAGCTGTGGCCCTGTGTCATTTGGATGCTTGCGGATAAGCGGCTTCAAATGCTCTTCCAACGTTTCGCGGCTGATGCTGGAAAGGGCCATGACAATGTGGCTTGAATCAACGTGAGTGACAGAGCCTTGCTTGCAGCTTTTCTCACCTAGCAAAAGAGAATAGAGTTGAACCTAGCCCGTATCCGTGCATTCGCCGCCCATCATGATGTCTGTGTGTCTTACATGTTGCACTGCAGCACAACATGCGCACCAACAGGCAAAGAAAAGCTGGCGGACATGACGTGAGTCAAGCTGCACAGGCAAAAACGTCTCTGGACGGAGAAGCATGCAAGCATGCTGCGCTTCAACTTCCTCAAAACTACATGTTGAAAGTCTGGACGTGACTGCTGGAAATATCATCATCATATTTTGATCGCTATATCAAACGTAGAAATCTCATCTGGGCTTGCGAGCTCTGGAAGCCCATGCCTGCTTGCTCCAACCTCCGATTTAAGCAATTGCTTCAAGTACCATGCATACTCGCTAGTGGCTCTGAAAGCTCGGCAGAAGCTCTGACTTGGAGTTCGCTGACTAAGCCCTTCTTCCTTCCTCCTGAAATTGTCTTAACTAGTTGTGCTAGGTTACAAGACAGGAAGCCTGAAGGTTCTGAGTGGAGGAAGGGCTTTATTTGCCATGACAGCGACAGTAGTGCTTTTGCGCAAGCATTGTGAGTTGGCACACTGCATCATCCATCACAACCAAGCCCCAAAAACAAGCAACGAATCATCTTAATCGAGCCTTTCTCAGGAGTGAGGTCTTAAAATTGTCGGCAGCAATACTAGCCAAAGAAATAAGGCTACCTGCATACTGAAATTCATGAATATAATCCTGTTTAAGGGTCGCATTTTGGAACCCAGGAGGCCAACCCCGCAAGGTTTGTTTGCACAATCATGTTTGGACAAAGAAGATCCCACATATCTTGCGCAAACCCAAAACCCCAAAATGCAAGAAAGACAATGATCATTTAGGCTTCTGCAGGCGCGCCATCCCATCTTCTTGGGCCACCACAAGAGGTTGCTTGAGTTCGGCTCTGGGCCTCTATCTCCTAATCCAAGTAGAACACAGATATTCGGAGAAAGGGGTAGATTTTGCAAAATTAAACTCTTTGTAGTCAGAAGGTGCCTCAGAGGGGAAATTTAGCGTGTAGATCCAAGTTTGGGCGGCTTGTTCTGCGTGCTCGACGATGTGGCTGAGTCCCGTCTGCGGCGTGGTGCTCCAACCCACTGCTTGACCTAGCCCAAGGGCCAGCTCCATATCGCAAAGCTTATCAAAACCGCTTCATCTGTGTCCGTTTATTCCAGCTTGAGGTAGCGTTTGTGGGAGTGCAGCGTCATTTCGTGTTATCTGCAGGCTCCTGCGGCAGCTGAGAAGCGAGATCTATCCGGGCAAGCCTTGTCCACCTCAGTCTAGTCCCTCTTGTGCACAAAATTTCGCTTGCTGACCATAGCTATCTCTGAAAGTTCTTCAAGTCCTTGAAGAGACGCTTGGCCTGCATAAACTCCAAGTAGATGATGGTTTCATCCAAGCCGAAGTATGGTCCCATGAGGAAGGCTGTTTGGTCCTTGTTGAAAGTCAAAGTCATCTCGCTTTCCGCCTTGCTCAACCTCACGCGAAGCACGCGATTACTCATCACACTCCACGAGCCTTGCTCCCGCTTACTACACTTCAGTTTGCCTAAGGGCAAAAAATGACAGATCGTCTCATGGCGAAGTTCATTGGGTATGTCATCTGAAGGTTTGGCACTGTTGTAGAGGTAAAATGCCCTTTGGATGAAATGTGGTCTCAAAGCACCCAGCTTCCCACGTCGGCAAATGACACCCTCAGCGAAATTGGTGTTCTCGCCAACGTAATTCCAAGTTGAATTATCCCATCCCATCCCAACAGGCTGGCAGTTTGAGAGCGCTCCCAACTTTTGATACTTGCGCACGGCAGCCCTCACCTGCTTGGCCGGAAAGTCATGGAAAGCAAGGTACTTAACCGTCTTCAAGCGCAGGGCATTTTCAATGTCTGCGCATACGCTTCCGTAATCGTGGCCAGCGTCAACGACGACGGCATCAATCTGGTTGCCACGAAAGGCCTGCCACCTGTCATATCTGGAGTCTGCGATAACCAGAAACACATTATCAGAGGTGTTGAGATACTGAGCTGCAATGTCTGCATTGAATTCCAAATAATCTACAGCGATCACTTTGTGGAACACGGCAGCCAGGACAGCCGTTGTGTAACCATGATACATGCCAACCTCTGCAACAGTCCATCGGTGAGTAGAACACAGCGGGCAGAAGAACTGCGCTAAGTGACGCTTGAACAAACGAGAAGACGTGTAATCCCGAGGTTTCCTTTCAGGTGCTCGCGAGATAGCAGCTTCAGCAGCTGCTATGCATCTTTGCGCCATGGCCCTGACAAGGATTCCTGCCAACAGAAGCCCATGCCGATACAGCAGGGGCATGGAATGCCTCTACAATGTGAGGAAATGGATGCTATGGGGTAAGTATCGCTGAAGGGATTTGATGTGCATGTCCTGAATCCAAATGAACTGAAGAGCTCAAGATGCCAACAAGACGAGCTAATGCCGAACATGCTTTCCACGAGCCATAGTGCTGCAGCAGCGCAGATGATCCCAAATCAAATTGGTTAATGCTATGTACTACGACGCAAGCTTTTGACAGCTTCTGACCTGGCTTCCATCATGCGCCCCTCGTATGCAACTGCCTGAATCTGCCTGATGTGTTGCAGAAACAACCTTTAAGCGACTCATGTGTACGTACAAACTGGCAAGTAGCGCCCAAACGGCGATGTCTTTCTGGCTTTTTTCGTCCAGGCTTCGGAGGCTTCATCACAGTCGCGGCCATCCGCACCTTCATTCGCACCCCTGGGTTGATGTGTCATCCAACCATACTATTTTGGCATATCTATGACCACTACGTGTTAAAACACAGCAGGCATCTCCACAAGGTTGCTGCTGCCGTGAAAAGGCAGCAGGTGCAAGGAGAGGCAAGCAGCGATCGCGAAGACAACCACACGTAGGCAAACATGCTCTGAAACAAAGCCACCTCTCTTTTGCTACAAACTTGACTTTGCAGGCATACCACTGTGGGAGGCTTGGAGGTCGAGGCTGATGATGACCTAATGGCAGCTATAATTAAAAACCAGTATTGGCCACATTGTCTTGAGAAGACTTGCTGAGCTCACGCATGGGCGAGCAAGAAGGCTTTACACTTGCCTGGAGCCTGCAAGTCTATCTGGGCTATGGGAGACTTGGGATTTGCAAAGACAGCCTCGGGCACAGGCGTCCCCGACAGACTTTGGTGTTGCAAAGGCTGTCTTGCAGACAGTAAGTAATTCCGCCCTCATCCAAGAAAAAGAGGAAATATAATGCATGACATGGCTGATGTGAGGGGGTGGTGCGTGCCTTTTAGTACTACGAGTAGGGCGGGTGATTGAGCATGACTGAGAATCATCCAGCATGCCTCCTCCATCTGGTCCGAGGACGCTGGCGAAGGTGTGCATGCTGGCGAGGTTGGTTCCACATCCTGGTGGCTTTCAGCAGGGAAGGCTGCGCCAGGGCAGATGAGCGTAATGCTTTCTTATCCCTTCCCCTTTGCAACAACTTTGCTCTCAGATATTGCTGTTCCTGCATGGTGGGAACAGGCACCTGGCCATCTTAGAACCTTAGGGTTCCCCCGGATGCAACATGATTCCTCAGCGGAAAGGTACAGTACTGTGGCACAGCCCGCCTCGTCCGCAATCTGAGTAGCATCATCAGATTCCTTATGCATTTAGTGAATCTGCGTGAGGAACCCTCACGTCTGCAGACAGATGCCAGAATTTTGTCTCATGCGTTTTGCGCTATGTGTTGCAAACGTTGTCAGTCAACAATGGGACGTGCGAGCAGGTCCCATTTAATTTCTTGCGCTAGTTAGCCACCTGCATCCTGAACGAGCCGCCGTCTATTACCGGTCACTGCCAATTAAGACAAGCTGCTTCCGCAACTTGTGTCGGATCATCAGACACCTGCAAATCAAAAGTGTTGGTCTAAGGTTGTCCAGCACTGACATCTGTCCTCGTCCGAGACTGCTGTCTTCTTCAGTGAGGCATGCCGTGCCGCATTCCCTCTCAGGTCCTCCATGAGTGCACCAGTCAGCTCACTTCAAGCCAAGGACTCGCGGGCGCTCAGACCCGTTTGTGAAACATCTTTCGCCCTGGCAGATTCATGTATGCCAGGCAGTCCTCATGCTTCTTTCGGGCCTCCTTTGACTTGTTTGGCTTCGGTCTCACTTCCTAGACAACATCATGACCCACAAGACCTGGCCACACTTGACACAGCTCACATCTGACCTTGGCTTTTGACTTCTTCCTTTTCTTCTTGCGTTTGGGACCTCAGTCCCGCTACGCGCAAATGCTTTTGGGCATTGTCTGCGGATGGATGTCCAAGAAACACCTTGGTATGTTCGGGTTCTACATGTACGGTTTCAGAGTCTCCTCACCATCCCAAGCTTCCTGCAGCTGGCTCAGCATGTCCGAACACAAGCATAACATTAGCTTTGATTGGCAGGAGCTGTGCCAACGAGAAAGTTTGCAGAAAGGGGTATCACAACTGAGTGGCAGAAAATGCTACACATCATGTACTCGAACTGAGTCAATGCTTCGGCATTGACTGGGTGCTATCACGTGTGGTGAGGTCAGCACCAGATACTTCACTGCTGGACGCGTTGGCCTTTGCAAATAGGTTGTTGCATAAGAAGGGCAACCCGTTGAGCTATCTCTTCTCTGAAAGATCAAGGCAATCACCTCCCCAAGCCGGCTAGGGGAAGGAAGTGCATTTTCAGCGCGGCTCATGGCTAGCTGAAACGGGCAACTTTCTACCTAGCTGACCTAGCTGTTGAGTTGCCAGAAGTGGGATGGCCTCATGGTTGCCGTGGCAGGTGTGTTATCGACAACAGTCCCTACCTCTCGGCTACCAATGTCTTTGATGCCCCCGGCCTTCAACTGTCTCTTCTTCTTTCGTCTGGCTTTTTGCTCCGAAGACTCCTCGCTTTTGAGTGCCTTGT